CTACATCACACATGGTTACATTTTGCGTAAGGAAGACCAGCCTTATTGCCATGCATGGATTCAACCATTAACAGTTAAACACTTTATGATTAAATGCACTGATTTCAAACAAATACGTGACAGATTTTATGATTTACTGTCTATGAAAAGATTATTCGATACAGTTTACACTCTATAGACCTTTACAATAAAATATTATATATCGTGCAGCCATTTTGTTCGATATTGATATATTTCATTAATCCTTTACATATTTTAAGTTTTGGTTTGATGCGTTTATTTTCGTGAATGTCTCTTTTTACAGTATTGCCCTAAATGACTCATATTGTCGGTGGGCCGTTAAAAAATACAAAATAATAATATGTTACATATCACTTTCCTTCGTTGTTATTTTCTGCATATTTTAAAATACACTAATTTAGAGAAAATGATTATTTAAAGCAAGGAATAAGATGTAAATATGCGACAGATATATGCGTCTTTTGTTTCTATTGGTAATTTACGGGCAGGTCCAGGGGGAAAATATGCCTGCTATATCCCACTGCATGATCGTAGGAGACGACTAATGTATAGGTCTGCTCTTTTTTAAATTTTATTTGTCTTACAACAATTATGAAATAAATTTTTACAACTGATAATTATCACTTCCGTTGGTCCGAATGTTAGCGTGCGGGTATCTAAATGTGGGAGGAAACAGGAGTACACAGAAAAAAAACAATGTTTTACAAGTAGCCCCATGCCTTTTCAGGTCCGATCGGTGAATCAAACCATGGCCGCCTTTGCAAAAAGAGAATACGTTATCAACTGCGCCGCTTAACCACCCTATAAATCTGCTCTACAAGACGAAGACGCGGCCACGATAAATTCAAATGAAATTAATGTACATTTTGCTGACTTAATCGTGTTCAAAATGTAATATGTTCTTTGTGGCTTCGCTCAGTTATAGGAAAAGACACAGCTGGTACGATGCCTGTGTCATTTATTTGTTTAAAGTTTATAACGTCCTCGCAACAAACAATGGTCGCATGTAGACGGGTGCCCTTAAAGACACCGCCTACACGAGAGTAGGCCAGCGAGAGGGAAAAAATAAACTCCAAAGTGCTGAATTGGGCTCCACAGGTCCTGTATCAATAAAGGGACATTCAGAACAATATTCCTTGTGACATGCGTTTTTCTTGGTACACCTACAGTTTACGCAGTTATAGACAGAGACATGGTTCAGAATGCTAGTGCAGCACTTATCCTATACCTATCTTGCTATGATTTTAAACCTGTCATATCAAATGTAAGTAAAACGGACTGGCAACCCACAATGTCTGAAAATATTAAGGCTGTCGCTATTAACATCCGAGTGTAAATAGCCGCTGCCGCGCGGCGTGGCAATTGACAATCGGATCATCCTCTCTAGAAAGCGGTTACTTGGTGTAAGGTTCCGGACATGCACTTCAATTTTTATGTTGTTTTGTACCTTTGTAATAGATTCTATGTACATTACAAAATAATACCTGCTTGATATTAATTTTTTTAAATTTTATTTCATCGACATATTGGTCGATTAAACGGTTAATAGTAATGTTGGCCAGACCAGGATTTGAACCCAGGACACTCTGACCTCTGAACAGACACTCTACCAATTGAGCTACCTGGTTGCTGTTGATCTACATAGTCCAGTCCAGAATATTCATCGTAAACGGTGACCTATGTGGGGCACCCTGCAAAATGTACTTTCTGATTGTGGCGGTGTCTCCCTAGGCACCCGTCATCATATGACCTTGGCTGATGCAAGGTCATTAAACCCTGAGCAAGTGAAAATATGCAGTACTGCACTGTTTTAAAGTCATAGAAAGTCAGAGAAGATAAACATGCAACTTTCTGAGGCGAAATTTGACAATTTGCAATGTGTATACCGACTTAAAATAAAATTGCAAGCTTTCAATTAGTTTCAGACTAAATATTTGTCCGTTGAGTGGAATGAGTGTTAAGTTTGAAGATATATCAGAATATTTTGTTTCTAGGGAAATTTGACTATTTTTCACCTTAGGAATAGGGGAAATGATGAAATTTGAGAAAATCTATATTAAGCCAAGTTACACTTTTTTCAATAAGTACAAATTTACAGTATTGTACTGATCTAAAGTCATACAAAGTCAGAGAAGATAACCAAGTGAATTTCTCAGATCGCTTATCTAGCCCGAGTGTCGATAGCCAGTCCGAACAAATATATATTTCGTTGATTGCAAATTAAACTTAATGTAGGTTGATTTTACACCAGACCGTTTATATGAATAACTGTTTCATGAGCATTATTTAAGTATATACAAATATAAACTTTATTTTTTACAACTATTATAAAACAATTCATTAGTTGGTCCGAATGTTAGCGCGCAGGGGGTCGTAGTGTGGGAGGTAAACGGAGTACCCGGAAAAAAAACACGTGGTCGAGCAGGTGAGCCCATATTTTTGTACGTCCGATCGGGAAATCGAACCCCTTCCGCCTTGGTAAAAGGCAAGTGCGCTATCCACTGCAACACCCGACCACCCTAGTTATTAAAGTCTTCAAGTGAATGTAATATGCCTTGAAATGCAAAGGGGAAATAATTACAAAAGTGCTTTCATGTAAAGTGTATGTAATTATATAATGTATATGCTTTTATTCATATGTGCAGTAAATTAAATATTCTTCGTGAGCCTTCAATGTTTTATATGCCAATCAACGTTCGATGCGAAATATAATTGGAACCAAATTAGCTGTTAATAATTGTCAATTAATGTTAATGACACTTGTCGAAAATTGATATCTCATAAATACCCCCACACAATCAAGCAATCCAATTTTATAAGATTTATCAACGTCGCTGTCTCGAGCGTGGTGATCCCTGGAGATCCCGTCTGATAGTCACGGCGCAGAATTACCACGCCAATCGGAACAGCGTCGCTACTTTATTAGCATTTCTCCCAAATTATATAACCTTTATAATGAAATTAATCAAAACTGCAATCATGCCGCATGAAGTCTGCGTAGCATAAGGTAAATTGACTAAATCAACGAAAGTTGATGACAGCGGTGTCCAAGTCTTAATACGACAATATATAATGCATCATACTATACACAAGTTGTATCAGGCTATGGTTAAAACAAATGAGTATTTATGTATCTGAACAAATGTATATCTAAATCAAACTCATATTAAGCTAACAATATTGAAATGCAGGGTCAGATTCGCCGAAAATATTAAATACTAAACCGACACTTCAACATTATCGATTTTTCACGATTAGTTAGACCAGCATCTGTGTCCCATCAACATTATGAGTGTTTTTCTAGTTGTATAAGATTTATCATACGCCACCATGGCTTTTGTCTGTTTTATTAAGCTGTGAGAAAACACCGTTGAGATTAATATTCTTTTAGAGATTTTTATTATCACACTATCGTGCGCAACAACAGGTCATCATAAAGTACAATATAACAATGATATGGTTGACCATAAAGCACTCATCTTACTATGCAAGCGTACAATAATATAGTGGAAACTATTACACTCCTCATACAATGATAAACACACTATTACACTGTTCATACGTACTGCCATATCTTATTCTAATAGACAGTATAACACACTGCTTATACAATGACACTCATCATACACTGTGATAACATTTTTACACTCATTTTACAATACTATTAAAATGTACGATGGTATAATACACAGCATTACATTCACCCATATCGTGCGTTCACACGATGGTATAGCAGGCACTGTTATATCCATCTTACAGTACAACCCTATAATAATAGTATTACACATATATTACTCGCACTCCATGATACATGTATTATAGATAGTATACCACAATATACAGTGCAATCATACCATGACATAATAGTGACTATTATACTCATCATACTATATAATATTACAAAGGTATGATAGACAGTGTTACAATCCCAACATACACTACTGTAATAGATAGATACAAATACCTTCAATCAGGGATATAACAAACAAACCATGATAAACAAGCTGTAACCACACTCAATATACAATACAATTATGTTAAGTTTAACAAAATATAGAACAAACTTATATCAAAAGTCTTTCCTATCTGCTTCTGTCAATCTATGGAATGAACTCCCTGAAGACATACGGAATGACGCATCCATAAAAAACTAAAGCTACATCTTAACAGAAATTTACTACAAAAAGAATCATATTACTTCTGTGGTACTAGAATAGGCCAAATCTACCATGCCAGGCTCAGAAAGAAATGTAGTTCACTAAACGGCCATCCTTTTCATAAAAATTTAGTAGGGAGTCCACTCTGTTCCTGCCGTGAGGCAAACGAAACAAACGATCATTATCTATTATTTTGTCGTAACTATGAACACATTAGACAAATATGTTTCTAGCCAATACAAAATCATACCTCAGTAGAAAACCTCCTGTTTGGTGACAACAATCTTTCACCTGCCCAAAATCGAAATATATTTAACTGTTTACAAAATGCTATTACTAAATCAAAACGTTTTTTACCTATTTAATTCATACATACAATTTTTTCACTCATATACACCTCGGTTTTATGTGTAAGGGTGTGTGGTTGTGCGCGCGCGTGGGTTTTTCCCCATATCAGTTGTGCCATATGCTATTGGTATTTTCGTAGTATCTTTGTAGTAGTGCACAGCATATATTTTCCAGTTATATATCCGTTATGACATCAGTGACATTCACATAGGTAGTGGGGCCCACGGCCTTAATTATCCGATATTGGCTGATTAGCCAACTTTGACTCATTACCATGATTTTAATATTGAATTCAAATAACAAGAAATTAAGGAACATTGAACAAAAGTACCATGTTGATACATTCTGAAAAGTGTATAAAAATAAAATGCATATTAACAGAGTTATAACAGATTGAAAATGCCAAGTGGTGCTATTTTCCACCAGCGGCTGGACCCGGGTCATCGGTGTTATCGTCGGTTATCTTATCGCACTCATTAACCTTACTTACCGCATCCGCTGATCGCGGTCAAGTTTTTCCAAGAGTGTAAGAGACGTGTATTTTCATTGGCTTTGTGCAACTTTTTGAAATGATATTGACCAATCAGATTTAGTGTATCTAAAAGCAATCGATCTTGACTTGACTGAGCCGAGCGCTTGAAGAAGAACAAGACGTGATGAAGCAATGGGTAAGTTTTTATCGTCTAATTAATTAATTTATTGTAAAACATACGAACTAGTGCGCATACCACATTAAAGATATTGTCCTTGTGTATCCATATGTTAAGCAATTGTTCAGTTTGACATTATAACTTTGCCGCACAGCCAGGTCAAAGTTTGAAAAACGAGCGAGTCGCTTCGCCGAACATTACAAAATGGCGGCGATTTAAATTCGCATTTTCACCTGATCTTCGCTACCAATATTTGCAGCTTTTCCATTTGTCTGAATGCTGAATGACTAAATATGGTTTCAGATACAAGTCTTTCTTCTGTGTATTTATATTCATTTGATGTCAATGAAGTGAAAACGAATAGTAATTGACGATTGTATTTGACCTATTTCCCTTTGTTTACACTACGACACGGGACAAAAGGTGTATTGTTTACATCATCTCTCTGCTCAATTTCGTCATATTTACGGAAATATTTTGGCTGTTTATGTCATAACTCGCTAATATAGTTGTGTATGTTTTGCATTAGCCATGTAATACATTCAGATAAATTAGTTATAATGGAAAGTACAGACATTTACTAATTATTATTATTTAGAATGCATAATTTTATATATGTTTTGTATTCATATTTTTCAGATTATTTTGGCAATTTGATACTGACACCAGGAGATGTACGCATTGACAACAGTGAACACCCTATGCCGTCTTGGCCATTTTTATTGATTGAAGAGGTGATTAATTTAACAGATACTGTACAAGTTGGATCCTCAGCAAATCAGTTCTTTCTAGAGTTGAACGTTGGACAGTTTTTATGTTTAGCACAAACTGCAACAAATTTTGAAATTTATGGATTGACCGTGTTGTCAAATCATACATGGCATGATATTCTTACATGTTGGATGTCACACTTCTCGGGGAAACTTTACAAAGTCAACGCGTTACGGGCTTTACACAACAGGAGGCTTAAGCGATTTAAGGAATTACAGAAAAGATACAATGTACGTGGGGATGAGAAAGTGAAAACTGTGCTCCTTGAATACCTGGCTTCTCCAATATTTCCCAAACAGAAACATGGTGTTACTCCTGTCACCTCTGAATCGTCAGAATCTTGTACATCAGTCTCAGATCATGTGCCACTGTCCCAAACACAGATTATGGAGAACAAGTCAGTACCTTGTACACCAGTTTTCAAGAACAGAACACCGTCCAGGTCACGAACACTGTCTAGCACACCAGTAATGCGGCATCCTGTTTTCTTACGGGAAAATGGTGTACCAAACTTAGTGAAGGAAAACAGGTCATTGAAATTAGACAGCAACCGAAAGGAGATAAAACTTCAGGATGTCATGGATGAAAAAAACCTTTTGGATAAAACCTTGAAAATACGAGACGTTGAAATCAAAAAGTTACGAACAGTTGTAAATTTGGACCTGAATGCTGAAAACCAAAAACTAAAAGAAAGAAATTCAACTCTGTTTGCAAGAACCAAACGTTTGAAAGATCTGGAAAGAAAAAGTAATTTTCAAGACAGAAAAATGGAGAAAATGAAATTGGAGATCTCACGATTGGTTGGATTGGTCNATTGTATTTGACCTATTTCCCTTTGTTTACACTACGACACGGGACAAAAGGTGTATTGTTTACATCATCTCTCTGCTCAATTTCGTCATATTTACGGAAATATTTTGGCTGTTTATGTCATAACTCGCTAATATAGTTGTGTATGTTTTGCATTAGCCATGTAATACATTCAGATAAATTAGTTATAATGGAAAGTACAGACATTTACTAATTATTATTATTTAGAATGCATAATTTTATATATGTTTTGTATTCATATTTTTCAGATTATTTTGGCAATTTGATACTGACACCAGGAGATGTACGCATTGACAACAGTGAACACCCTATGCCGTCTTGGCCATTTTTATTGATTGAAGAGGTGATTAATTTAACAGATACTGTACAAGTTGGATCCTCAGCAAATCAGTTCTTTCTAGAGTTGAACGTTGGACAGTTTTTATGTTTAGCACAAACTGCAACAAATTTTGAAATTTATGGATTGACCGTGTTGTCAAATCATACATGGCATGATATTCTTACATGTTGGATGTCACACTTCTCGGGGAAACTTTACAAAGTCAACGCGTTACGGGCTTTACACAACAGGAGGCTTAAGCGATTTAAGGAATTACAGAAAAGATACAATGTACGTGGGGATGAGAAAGTGAAAACTGTGCTCCTTGAATACCTGGCTTCTCCAATATTTCCCAAACAGAAACATGGTGTTACTCCTGTCACCTCTGAATCGTCAGAATCTTGTACATCAGTCTCAGATCATGTGCCACTGTCCCAAACACAGATTATGGAGAACAAGTCAGTACCTTGTACACCAGTTTTCAAGAACAGAACACCGTCCAGGTCACGAACACTGTCTAGCACACCAGTAATGCGGCATCCTGTTTTCTTACGGGAAAATGGTGTACCAAACTTAGTGAAGGAAAACAGGTCATTGAAATTAGACAGCAACCGAAAGGAGATAAAACTTCAGGATGTCATGGATGAAAAAAACCTTTTGGATAAAACCTTGAAAATACGAGACGTTGAAATCAAAAAGTTACGAACAGTTGTAAATTTGGACCTGAATGCTGAAAACCAAAAACTAAAAGAAAGAAATTCAACTCTGTTTGCAAGAACCAAACGTTTGAAAGATCTGGAAAGAAAAAGTAATTTTCAAGACAGAAAAATGGAGAAAATGAAATTGGAGATCTCACGATTGGTTGGATTGGTCACCGACAATGTTGATGTCGGTGAAGTGAAAGAAAACATGGATCTGAAGCAGATGAGTGACAGTGTAAAAGTAACAAATCAGGTGCATGGACTGAAAAGAATAATGAAAAATTTGAAAAAGAGAATTCAACGACGAGAGAAAAGTGTTTCCAATTTGAAAATGGAATTAAGTAAAAGTAGGGACGATTTTCAGACTGACCAATATTCCACAGAACTTTACTATGAAGGAATTGTAGATACAATGAAAAATCAGCACAATTTATCTGTGAAAAAACTTTCTGAAGAACTTAACCAACTGAAAGAACTGGAGACACAGAAAAATGGAAAGTATAAAGCAGAGGTACGTCTCATGTATTATGACCTTCTGTGCAAAGGCGTGTCGGCTAATACAATACAATCAGTGGTGAAAACTGTGTTACAACATACCACTGAGTTTGACCTGGATACGCTACAGCTGCCTAGTAGATCCACAGCCCAACGAATGGTGTCCGAGGCTGGAGAATTGGCAAATATTCGTGCCGCCTACGAGATTGCAAAAGAAAACCGCTCACTGTGTCACATGTCGGATGGAACTACAAAACACCTGATACATTGGGGTTCGCATGTTGTCAAGTTAAAACCACTTGGCGCCAACGAGTCTAAAACATTTACACTTACTGTAAGTCCTGTGGCATCTGGAAAAGCTGATGATTAATGACTGGAACAAGAAACGAACAGACAAAACGACGCTTTTTATCGACTCGGCCTCAAAAGCAAGCTTTGATTTTGAAGCGTCGGCAAAATCGTGAAAGAAAAGAGAAACGGCTAAGAGAAAATTTAAAACGAGCCAAGACAGAACTCTGCCAAAGTTGTAAAGTCATTAAAGTGCTAACAAAAACCCAAGTGCTTAAACAATATACTTTGTGGAGGTCCCTGTGTACTGCTGGCTCAAATATGATCCTACGGGCTGATGTTTTAAAGGGCTTCCTCAAAAAAACTTTGCAGGACCAGAGAAGGGCTCTGAGAACATTGGTTTTAAAAAATCCCTCTGGCGTAAGAGACTGTCATACTCGTATAAATGAGTGTGCTGCCCCATGTGTATCAGACTGGAATTCTTCAGATGAGGAAACCATTGACATGATGCGCCCATTGGCAGAATTTAAAAGGATAACTTGGTCATCGGATGAGGATGAGCCCTTGTGTGACATTATCCCATTAAAACATGTGTTGCATTGAACAAAACAACAAACTGAAATAACAGTGACATTGCAAACTTTCCAAATGATAACTTTATTTTGATGTCAGTTTAACGTCGAAAATTAGCAAATTTTTGATTTAAAAAAGAGTTATCTCCCCTGTTTTTTTTAGTGTTTTCTTAAAATGCCAGTTTAACAAAATGTTTAAACATTTTTGTATTTCTTTCTGCATTTTATGTTACAGTAAACCAAACTGAACAATTATAATCAAAAATTAAATGAAATAATTAATTTTTTTAAAAATGTGTCCGGTCCATTTGCACTCTGTTTTTTTCCTGTTGTCAAAATTGAATGATTTGTGATTTTGAAGTGTCATGTTTTTTCAAAATATCAAGATTTCATGCGCTATTTGATTATAGTATTAATGTGTATATATATATCATTGTAAATAATCATAATAAATGTTCCAGGACTCTTAGTTCTCTCGAAATTTAATATGGAAATCACTGATGTGAACTATGATTTTAAGTGTTTTAAATACGGAAAATTACTTTTTCGCAGATTTCATGACTCTCTAGTTTTTTCATTAATAGAGATAATGTAATGAAACGTTCTGTGCTTGTTCATATTAGTACATTGATTGCAATATGATTGAAATAATGACTATCTCACCTATAATAAATATTGTATATACATTTGAAAATGGTGTTTTGTTCCAATTTTTTTAAGTACATGGGCCTCCCTAACATAGGTTAACGTTTTGTACATTGGCAAATGCTATTATATCCTCTCTTCCTATTTCTTCTCCTCTTTCTTCTACTCCAAGTCTCTGTTATCCATTATTATGTATGCTAAGGAAACAGATTGATATAAGTTTAATAACTTGTTTCTGGATCCTATTTCATGTATGTAATAATTAAATGTCCTGTATATTGTAATTGCAAATTTACGAAATAAAATATGGTTTATACTACTGATAAGCACACTATTACACTGTTCATACGTACTATCATACCTTATTATAATAGACAATATAACGCACTGCTCATACAATGATACTTAACATACACTGTGATATACAGTGTTACACTCATTTTACAATACTATTACGATGGTATAATACACAGCATTGCATTCACCCATACCGTACGTTCACATGGTGGTATAGCAGGCACTGTTGCATCCATCTTACAGTACAATCCTACAATACTATTATTACAGTATTACACATATATTACTCGCACTACATGATACATGTATTATAGATAGTATACCACATCATAGAGTGCACTCATATCATGGCATAATAGTGACTATCATACTCGTCATACCATATAATATTACAAAGGTATAATAGACAGTGTTACAATCCCATCATACAATACTGTAATATACAGATACAAATACCTTCAATCAGGGATATAACAATAAAACCATGATAAACAAGCTGTAACCACACTCATTATACAATACATTATGTTAGGTTTAACAAAACAAGGATTCCACGGAAGTGGATGTGTCGCCTGCGCAGGAAGCTTGGAGATTGTGCTTAGCACTGCATGAAGTTTGAGTTTGATCGGCCCAAGGAAACTTAAGTTATCGCAGGAAAACAGTTTTTCTATTTATAGTAACAGTGACCTTGACCTTTGACCTCCGGACCTGAAAAGCAATCCCAAGCAAGCACTTTTGGTAAGGAAGCACTGCATGAAGTTTGAGTTTGATCGGCCCAAGGAAACTCAAGTTATCGCACGAAAACCTCTGTGCGGACGTCGCCGCCGCTGACATAGCAATACCTATGTGTTACCAGCTCTTAGCAGGCGACACAATGATCAGTAATATCTATATGTATACAAAAGTTTACAGTTTGATGTGTGAAATTCACATATTATTTTTTAATTGTCTTTCTAGTAATTGTATGAACAGCGATAGATTTGATAATATTCTGATATTAATCCTTTCGTTTTATGAACAGATGAATCAGAGGTACAATAAATAGGTATATCTTTTTCTGCGGATTTGACATATGTTTGTTTTTTTGACAAAACTGTACATGTAATTTCCCAATCATACTGGTATTTTCAAACACCCAAATTGCTGAGGAGTAAAAAAGGGTTGGGGATATTAATACATCAAACAATTTTAATTGTAGATCAATTGGTAAAATGTTTTTTCTTATTTTTTATATAATGCATACATTGCTTTTTGAGCCTGTTCAACAAGTTTTTTTCTTGCTTTACAGAAACTGCCTTTATAATGAAACAGCAGTCCTAGAAACGAATAACTGTCATGTGTTTGCAACTCATCACCAAAAAGAGTAAAACGAATATTTTGTACATTACTTTTTCTTTTTTCAAAGATAACGACTTTAGTTTTATTGAGATTAACTTTAAGTTTCTAAATAGTACAGTTGATGAGGTGCTCAATTCAGCTCTTTCAGGAACATAATATCAAGTAGCAACATGGCTGGAACCGCTGTTGTGTTAACGCAGTATCATATAACATTAAACTAACAATGTCGACAATGGTTCGCTATTACTACAAAGAAGTATGCATTGTATTATTTCTGCAGGAACGTAATCGGCTCTAAGTAAACGGAAGCAGTGGTATTTGGAAATGCATTTCGATAGAGTTTTCTATTACCGTTTATTATAACGTTATATTGACAATTTCATGCCAGTTTATCTTCTGTTATGTTTGAATTAATATGAAGCTAACATCGAATAAATATATTTATGCATATCTTAAATCTGCGGGCGTTGTCGACTTAATACAACAAGTTGTTTACCCGTGAATACTTGTCTGTGTGCCTTTGGCATGTATTCTATTGGTGGTAGCACTCTAAAGTTAACATCAGATCTGCGGCATTGCACGGACACAAACAACAAACAGTCCGCCTTCAGAACACGTACATTACACACATGGAGACACCTCATAACATTACGTTGTTAATAGGATGCTAAATGACAGGGGTGCAAAGCACTGGAAACCATTGGAATTTTTCTTCACCGAACCGCAAGGATTTTGCAATAATCCATCAAAATCAGACTTGTATCGGAAATACTAATTGGACGTCATAATTAAATACTGCCTGTCAATGTCAATGCCTGATGTCCAAGTCTTTTTGGTATCGTCACACTTTTTGTTCCTATTATTTAATTTGTTAAAACATACAACAAGAATAAAATACATGTAACGAAGTGTCAGCAAGGAGAATAAGACTGAGTTCCTCAGGAGTAGGCATCTTCTGTTTCATGGACGACACCCGCAATGAAAATCTAGGTCAAATCAAAGTGATGTCACGACTTCACATATATAACGAGGGTAGTGACAACATAGTCAAACGGCACACTAATGATCTTAATAAAAAAAAAAACATCGACCTTCATATCATACTAACAATAGCGTACTTCCATATGGAATCATGATGCCGACCATAAAACTTGTTAAAAGTCTTTATCCGACGGCGTCTTTGGAAACCGTATGTTTTAGATTTGTCCGTCAGCTTTCGACATCTATCACGGAATTGAAATGTTCGAAGCTCGCTGTTGAATAATACCGAATCACATTGAGATAAATTAGAATTATTTCTCAACCTATATCACTTGATTCGGTTAAGGAGACATGAATCAATTTAAACTGTATGAACATATTTTGGCTATTGTTTAACATGAATTTGGTTAGGGTTTTAATTGGGTTTTGCGCCCTTTTATCAGCATGAAAATAAATGCAAGCTAATCATTATCAATAATTTCATTGACTGGACGCAATTTATTTGCATTAAACATTGTAGTATGAATTAAATCAGAAATAGACATTGAAAGCTTATCTTTTTTTCTAAAGTGACAATATCTATTTTTGTTAGTTTAAAGTTCGTGTTTGTCAGGACAAGTTTACTTTACTTTATTACAATACATTAAATAATGTTTAATTATAGTATTTAACAAAATCATCTACAATATTCACGAAACATTTCATGATAAAGGTGTAGGTAAAGAATATATTTGATAAAAACTTAATTGAGAATCAGCGAACTCATGAGTAAAAGTCCATATCATTTATATTAGGATGTTTGATGGTTTAAAATTTCATGTTTGTTTTAGAAACCTGTTATTAGTGTCTCAAAACGTACTGTTTTATAAATTAAATGTGTTGTAAAACGCACACAAATAGTTCATGTTTATATAAAAGACGCCCACACTAATGTCAGTTATTGTCTTACGACACGAAAATGTAAGGTTACAGTTTGATCATTAATTACAGAACGTACGCCCCCTCCCCATAGAACAATCAATACAGCAGCCAAATATAATTTCAACAGTATTTTCGTGTCTGATATAAATATATAAGTTATCAAAAGAAATACTGTAAAACATAATTACACTTCTTTGTTTATATAAGGTTAAACTTTGGCCTGTAACTTAGCAACATTAAACATGATCTCGTTATTATGCCTGGGGGCCATGTAAAAAAGCATGTATATATAACATTCCATGCTACAATGTATATAATACATGTGTTCAGGTTAAACCAGCAGAAGTCAATGTTATAAGCTTGGTAGGGTCGCCATTGCAAGCGAACATTTGCAATCACTACATGCTGTTTCAGAGAAAACTCGCAAGCTACACTTATATCGGACGTGGAAAGCCTCATTCATGGACAAATTATTTTAGAGGTATTGCGTATCTTAAGTTAATCCGACCACACTATTTTGTCTAGTTTGGTAAGGTAGAAAGCAAACTTATTCGTAAAATATTGTTCCGATGGTTGTCATTGTGTATATTTTCTATAAATCACTGAATACCTCAACTGAATACCGCAACACCCCCGCAGGTGGGGGATCGGGAAAAGAATACACCTGCTGTTACCCACTGCATGTATCGTATGAGGAAACTTATGAGCGAAACCCCTGCAGAATTGGGAATTTGCTTTGATGTCCTCTATTTGGGGACACAAAAACGACCAAAATAAATCTGCTGCACCCATTTCAATATTTGGTATCTTTATTTTTCCTTCTACTTCTGAATACCTTTTATTTCCTAGCGCATTGCTTGGCAACACCTCACATTTGGCCTGAATGATGAGCGTTCGCCCAGGCGAGGAAGGCAATGGGTTCTGTAACCAGGCTGAGACATACCAAAGTCCTGAAACTGGGATACCATTCACCGAATATTTACAGAGTGTAATTTGTTGTCTTAGCACTGATTCAAACTATTTTGCCACTTTGACCTTACAAACTGTTATTAACGATTTATAATCCGTAGAACGAAATAGAAAATCAACAGATAGTAGCAAAAACCCCGCTAGGTGGCGCAATCTGCCCTGTTCATTAATTGGTATGTCCATGCCTTGGAACCAAGCAGAAAATTATGCATCATTTGGTAGCCGGCATCCAAAAGCGACATTTGTTGTAACCATGCCTGCGGCGACTTAATGGTTCTCTTTCGAACCATCGGTATAAAGTGACTGAAAGTCATTATTTTAACAGCAATCAAAATGAGTTTACTGTTTCATTGTGTGAAAAGTCAACCTCGGGCGAAAACTAAAGCCATGAAGGGACAGAAATTGATTTTAATTATTAGAAAGCGTCAACATTAATTTGGCCGTTTTACAATTAGGATTAAATGAAATAATTTTAAGTAATACTTTAAGTAATCATTATTGTTATTTTCTCAAATTTTCACTCCTGTGTGTATTACTTAGCTCAAACATCGATAAGGAAATATGACAATTAGAAATGTTGGAAACAATAACGTTTTAAACACAAATTTCAAAATAATTTCCGTTGAATTCAAAAATTGACATCTTTCACTTGGTATGCTTCC